AATATAAGAATATTTACTACAACTCTCATGAAGACACCAATTCTTAATTCTATCATCTACCTTGTTAAAAATTCTAAAAACCGCAACAGCTATAACCAATGCTGGCAGCTTACCCCTCTTCACTAAAATAACCATATCTGTAGTTCTAGAACTCCTTTTTGGGTGATTCTAGCGCTATTGGAAAACTAAGATCTAGGGCTACAACTTTCATGAATACTACAAAGTCAAAGTCTAAAAGCACAGAAGCGCTCAGCGCCTCCAAAGCGCTCGGTGCTTTACCTCCAGGAATTCTCCTCTGGCTCTCTGCCCCCAAAGGGCTCAGCCCTTCAAAATGGCTCAGCCGTTTGACAAGCGCTTAGCCCTTTAAAATGGATCAGCCCTTTGGTTCCAGAAACCCTCCCCTGTCACGCAGCCCCTAAAGGGCTCAACCCTTTAAAATGGCTCAGCCGTTGATGACAAAACCCACATGTTCTACACCATTTTCACCCAGAACCTGTGATCTTAGAAGAATCCAACACATGCAACTACCTCCAAACACTTACCACTAAATCAAACAGCTAAAAGCAACTCAGTACATCAACATGCAATTATAAGATCACCACAAATCATCAAAAACACCACATGCAAACCCACTAGCTTCCCTTACCTCGAAGAAGAAGAATCCGAGCTTCAGGAAAGAGAAAGAAGAAAAAGAATATTCGTGCCTCTAGCTAGCAATCCACACCTCTACTCAGCACCTTCCACACGACACCAAGTTTCTCCCAAGCTTCAAGCTCCCTAGCACCAAAATGTAGCTTTTCCTCAGCTTAATCTTCAAAAAAACAAGAAGGAGAGGATAAAAGGATTCAATTTCAGCCAAGGAAGAAGAAATGAAGAGTAAAGGAGGAACGGATTTGGGGCTTACACATAACACAAAAAATATTCACTTAATCTTTTAATAAATATAGGGTTAAAAATAATAATTTCAATTTTATAGGGATTAAAAACAATAAAATAAATTTTGCAAGGACTAAAATCAAAATCAGTTAATTTTTTAGGGACTAACAACATTTTTAAATTTTTTATTTTAATTTTAGTCAAAATTTAATTTATTTATTTTTTATATTTTTGAAATAAGATAGCATTTTGTAAGTGCTTAAATGATAATACATCCAAACATTTTAAAATTGTATAAGTGTTTGTTAACATGTATATCCAAATACAATAACTTATAGAATTTTAAGCGACATAAAAGTTTATTAAATAAAATCTTAAATAAATTATGTGTACAAACAAACCCTATCATGTATTCTAAATTATCCTCTAAATTTGATATAAAAGTTTATTAAATAAAATCTTAAATAAATTATGTGTACAAACAAACCCTATCATGTATTCTAAATTATCCTCTAAATTTGATATAAAAGTTTATTAAATAAAATCTTAAATAAATTATGTGTACAAACAAACCCTATCATGTATTCTAAATTATCCTCTAAATTTGATATTCTTATTTCTTCATTATTTCTCAAAATTGTTATATATATTTTACTTTTATTTTTACTAATACTAACTAACACAAGTGTTAGCGGTTTGTTATATTTAGGGTTGTTATATTTCTTAATTAAGTTATTCAAGATTTAAATCAAACATTAAGTATATAATAGATTATATTGAGTGAGAAATACTCTTTATGTATATGCTCATGATTCCTGACGAATATTAATTACTGTTTTCAATAGTAAATATTTTATTTTTATTTTATAGTTATAAAAAAAGTTACATATTTTCTTTATAAAAAAACGTACATTGTTTTGTTATATTGTATATGATTTGGATTAGATTACTATACGTGTATAGATCAACAGATATGGAATTTTTTTAACTTAATTAATAATTTTAAATTTAAGTCATAATAAATTTGTACTTATGTTAAATAATCTTATGAAGAATTTTGTTGTTTTCAATGACCCTAATAAGCTTTAACTATATGATCTCCGGGAGAAAAAAAAAATTATATGCCTTATTTATGAAGTATCATCCGAATTATCAAGTCTCCATGTCTAGGTGTTGGAAATTTTTACATGCCTTCCTTAATTATCGAGTTATCTTTGTTTATATATGTGGTAATTAATTTTAAGTTGGAATCCTAAGAAATTTATAAAAAAATTACAACCTAGCTGTAATTAACCTTTTATCGTTGGGCTGTCAGTCAGATATTGAGGTTTGTCGAATTGAATCTGACTTTGACTGTTGAAGAAAGTTGGGGGGTTATGTCCTAAGTCTTTCGGTTCATGTTTAATGTTTGGTGTTAAATTTCTTTTTCTTGTCCACATGTGTTAAAGCTACATTAGCTAGATTTTGAAGATCAAAATGAGAGATTTGGGGAGAGGAGGGTTAGGGAAGGTGTAGAGACTAGAGAATAGGAAAACATGTTGGGAAAGGAAAAGATACCCTATTTCTCTTGGTCGTGCAACGCCCAACATCCCTACTCATTAATATTTGCTAGAGATTGAAACTATTTTTTTTACATTATGGTAACTCATTTAGCATGATATATATATTCATCATTCACATAATGTACGGATTAAAAACGTAATATAACATCATATTAACGGTTAAGAAATTATGTTACTAATCAATATATTATGTAAATAGTTAAGATATTTTATTATTAGTCGATATGTAAATATATTAGATTATCGATTATCATATCATAATCATTACAAGAAAATTGTCATATAGTGACATGTCTTATATAGTGACACAAAAATGATCATTAAAAATTAATTTTATTACCTACATAATAAATACAATATATGTTAGTATATTGTTAAAAAGTGTGAGTATAGACTATCGTGATATACAAAATATGTTGTTAAATATCATTCAAAATTAATACTAAAACTGTGTGTAACTATATATCAAATAGATACATATACCTACATATATTATTATACTTATAGTGACATTTTTTATATGTCATTGCATATATAACATTTTTTATAATGAATATATTATGTTAACAATCAACTAATAACATTAAACAAGTAATTAATGAAAGATAAATGTGTAAAATGTAAAAATAAAATAAATAAAAAAAGTAACAAAATGTGTAATTTTAAAAATTAAGTGAAAAAAATCATTAAAAGAATCGTAAAATATGACGAAAAAAAATAATTAAACCTTAAAAAATTATTAATATAATGCTTACTTACATAACAAATTAATATTATTAAAATAAGTTACTTGATATTGAGTGGGTTTAGAAGTGAGAAAATCCAATAGTGTAAACCCCCTCCACTAATTCTTAATATAGCAAAAAAGAATTTGGGAATCAAAAAAGATAGTAGAATTATCTCTTTATTATCAAAGTTTCCACGTTAGAGAAACGAGTACCAAATTGACTAACCCTAAACACCCCTTTGAGCATATTTGCTTTTTGTTTGGTCTATAATCTATATCCCATAGAGCTTTTGAAGTAGTTGAACCCCAATTATATAATTATATTTTGTTGTGGGATCCAAATAGGTTCAAAGTCTTGTACACACTATTCCATCCAAAATCAAGGGGCCACCACCAACCGCCCAAGTTTACAAATATTCTATGAGCATCTTTGGCAATGCTTTTTTCTCCTGTTTTTGGTTTTTTTTTATTCTTTTGAAATAAAAAACTATTCATAAAGAAAATTGGTTGTTTAGAATAATAGCTTAAATTTATAAACAATTTTTTTCTTCTAAAAATACAGTGTTTTTTTAATCTGAAAATTTAAAGATTATGGTCATTTTTCATTAATTTTTTTTTGCTATAACTAATTTATTACATAAAAGCTATCTTTTTTTATTAACCAAATGAAATTAAATGTCTCAAAATTATTTTTCAATAAATTTATCTAAATGAAAATTCAGTCCAATTATAATCAGTTATCAAATAATCTAATTTTTATAACTTTTTCAAACAAATTTTATATGATTGAGGAAATTTTATATTTTATTAAAGAGATTCTAATTACATTCTTTTTTCTCCTCTCACTTCTTTTGCATTTTTGTAAGAGGTGGCAAATTAAGACCAAGATATTAGAGGGGAGGGGAAATTTAACTTGAAATTTAGAGTATGTTTAAATGGAAGGTTTTAATAGAGTAATTTAACTTTTTGAAAAAATTTAAATATTTTGATGTAAAATGTTTTATTTGGATAGTGTAAGATATAAAATTTTAAATTCTTTCAGTAAGAATTTTAACTTTTTTTTACCACCTCTTTCTCTTGTCTTTCAAAATCAACATAAAAAAGTATCAATATTTTTTAATTATTGAATATCTAAATTATTTTTTAAGTTAATAAATATAATAAAATAATATTTTTTAAAAATATTAGTTTTATAAAATTAATATTTATAAAATTTGACTAATATTTAGTTCTATAAAATTTAATTATAAAAATTTAGTTTTATCTATGATAGAAATTAAATTGCCCTATCCAAACACACAATTAAATGATATATTAAAGTATATTTATTTACAACAATACTAAATTCTAAAGTTCCGTTAAATATGGAAGTTATCTGACTTTTCCGTTAAAATAAATGGTAATATACAAACATGCTATACTCATAAAATATGGATATATTCATAATATCATAGTTGTATTTTTTTAAAATATTTTTTTAAAATATTTTTTTCCTACTACTATCCACCCTAAAATACGGCGTTTTACAACTTGTATTTTTTTAGTGCTTTCTACTGTCCTATGTGATATGTGTAGGTAACTAGGTATGGCTCCATGAGTCCATAACAGGGTTTGTTTCTTCTGTGTGATTGATGGATGAGACATTAGACATATGCCAAAATTGAAAGGCCATGGATTCAGGCACATGCAAAGTGAGCAAAAGTCTTCCATCATGGGACATTAATTCAGAAATTGTTAGCAGAGTAAAGAGTGAAGAAGAAATGCATAATATTGTTTGGACTAGGTCACTCCATAGGGTGTACATGTGTGTGTAGACTTAGACTCATCATTTTACTTCACCCTTCAGCCTTGGTTAGGCCTGAGCATCGGTCGGCCACGGTCGGTTTCGGACCCATCTGGGAACTTAAGAAGGAAATGAAGTGAGGGTCGACACCCGGCGCCAACGCGGGAACAACCCTGAAGCGCCTCATAATCCCAGCCACCAACCTCTGCATCTGCATGAAAGCCATTTCCTTCCCCAAACACATCCTAGGACCTGCCTGAAACACAGGATAAGTGAAAGAATCTCTTCCCACAAACCTCCACTTTCCAGTTTCATCCTTCTCTAACCATCTCTCAGGCTTAAACTCAGCCCAATCATCACCCCAAATGCTCTCCATTCTCCCCATCGCGTAAACATGATATGTCACCATCGTCCCTTTCTTCACCACCGTCCCATCCGGCAAAACGTCGTCCTCCACTGCTTCCTTCGTGTCCATCGGCACCGGTGGGTACAACCTCATGCTCTCGCACAACGCCGCGTGCGTGTAAACCATATGTTTCACTTCATCGTACACCGGAGCCTCTGATTTCTCCATTATCTCCTTCTCAAGCTCCCTCTCCACGCGCGGATTCTTAGCTAGCAGCCAGAAAAACCACGTCAGCGCCGCCGCTTATCCTTAGTCAACTCCGCTTGGATGTCAGATTCAAGATTTACAAATTTATATATAATTGTTTTAAAGGTGCTAGACTGATATAGTTTCATTGACATGTCAGCATGTGCAATGAAAACAGATCTGTCAAGGGTGATTGCATGAAAGGGTTCCATAAATATATGGAATAGTACTTCACTAACTTGGACAAATAAGTGCATGCCAAAACTCGAGGAATGATAGAATTATCAGCCTAGTAGTCTATCACACAAGGTTGAGATTTGAGGTCTTTCAGAACGTAGAATGAAAAAAGACTTCGATATCAGAACAAGAAATTGAAATAGTGACAGACAACGTAAACTATTGAATAACAAGAGGACACATTTAATTTAAATGTGATAACTGTAAAACATGCGGTTCACGGAGATTAAATTAAACGACAGTCATTATAAGCAATCAGAACGAATCCTTAACTGAAGTTTGAAGAAGAAAATTAGGTCCAATTTGGATTAGCTTTAATCTTACAACTATTTAATTAATAAACATATATGACTAACGTTTTTTAAGATAAAAATGTCACTTTAAACTATAAGTGGCTAGGAAGAAGTTAGCTAATAAAGATTTTAAAAAGGTTCCAGACACAGATACATACTGATGTTAACTTGCACCAAACAATCAATTCATTTTTCTACTTTTCATGTTATTTTATTTTCTTCTTATGTATATTGATCGAGAAGTTTGTTGAAACTCGCTCTCTATCTCTATATAAAAGTACTGATGAAGATTTATTTGTTCAACTCCTGTCCCAGGCAGAGATTCTTTCCACACGATCAAAGAAGAATCATAATTATGTTCCCACTCCAATAGGCCATATTATTATATTCCACTAAAAGGTATTAGTACACAATTCGGTATCCATATCCATGTCCTTGCTTACCTCTATTCTTCACCATCTTCTTTAAGAAATATAAATTTAACTAACATTAATCGTAATTTATTATAAGCTTCAAATAATTAATAAAAAACATACAAACAAGATCAACGCTCTAGTCTAACATCCAACTTGAAGAAAGAAAAGTAAATGACATGGACTAATTAAACAAGATAGATTTAGTTTGAATGTGAAGTTTCCCTGTGGAGGATCTTGACGGGGAAACCACCTTCCATCTGGGAACTTAAGAAGGAAATGAAGTGAGGGTCGACACCCGGCGCCAACGCGGGAACAACCCTGAAGCGCCTCATAATCCCAGCCACCAACCTCTGCATCTGCATGAAAGCCATTTCCTTCCCCAAACACATCCTAGGACCTGCCTGAAACACAGGATAAGTGAAAGAATCTCTTCCCACAAACCTCCACTTTCCAGTTTCATCCTTCTCTAACCATCTCTCAGGCTTAAACTCAGCCCAATCATCACCCCAAATGCTCTCCATTCTCCCCATCGCGTAAACATGATATGTCACCCCTTGGTGATGAAAATTCAATCTATATATATTTATATATAGGTTACTTTATAGCATTTCTATTGAATTAACTTTTTTTTAATAATTATTATTGGTATGAAATATTTATCAATTTTAATATTGATTAATCTCCATTGAAAAATTTGATTAGTTACTTTTAGTATAATCATTTTTAATCACTTTTTTTAATCCACAAGACTCAAATTTGAAACACCATTTAAAGAGACTATATCTAATACTACATTGACTAATAACTTGTTGATTATTGAATTGTGTTTGATTATTGAGAAAGAAACTAGAGAGAGATAAAGTGAAGAAAAATAGAAAAAATAAAATTGTATTAATCTTATATAGTTATGTTTTAATATAATTTTTTTTATTAGAATATAACTATATCATATTAAAACAATTTTGGTAAACTAATTTTGGCAAATAAAAATTGGTGAATGAAAACTGTAAAATTAATACAATTCACTTTTGGAAAATTCAATAATTTCTATGATATAGTTGTATTTTACTATACACCACACACACAAAAAAATTTAATTTTTATTGATATATTTTTTATATTATAGAATTTAGTTTTTGTAATGTAAACTAAACACCAAATTTCATAATGTTTAGAATATAACTAAATTACAAAATAAATTTCCGTAAAACCTGAAAAAAAAGGAGATGTGAAGGAAAACTAAGAGATATCTTTAGAAATATAAAAAAAAAATTAAAAATAAAAATTATAGGAGAAAAAAAGGTAAATAGCATGGGCTACATCAGCAACGTGAGAGAGCAATATACAAGGCTCATGATATATACACTTCATTTTTTTTTATAAGTACACCTCTTTTATTTTTTTTAAAAAAATTATTAATTATTGTAAACTTTTTTTTTTAATTTTTTAATTTTATACCTTCCACTTTTAATTTGTTACTTTTTTCTTCTTTTTCACATACTTTTTTCTTCTCTTTTAATTTTCACATGCTACTAAAATAGGTGTAGTGAAAGGTAAGGAAGTACATGTAAAAATTGAAAAAAAAGAGGAAAGATATGTGAAAAAAAGTACTAAATTAAATATTGTGGATGTAAAATTAAAAATTAAAAATTAAAAATTAAAAATTAAAAAATTAAAAATATTTTAAAATTTTATTTTTCTTTTTAAAAAAGGAGGCGCACTTATAGAAAAAAGGAGGTGCATATATAATGAACCATATACAATGGAACTGTAAATATTTGAGCCCAAAAGCCCACCTGTTTCTTTGTAATGCTCACAACACAACATTGTGCCAACTGCCAAGTGCCAACCTTAACCTCTTTAAATTCTTCAACCACTAAGACCATACCCATCCCAATTTTTAAATTTCCCTCCTTTATTATTATTTTTTTGTATAAATTTATTCCACTTATTGTTAAGAGATAATCTTAGCAAATATCTTGAGAGTCTGATTTAAAAATTTTAAAAACACAAATTTCACATAAAAAAAAATTACAACACTCATATGTGTATATATATAGGTATCTAAAAAATATATTAAAAAAATTTGTGTCTAATATATATCATTACGAGCACAAATATAAGTTATATGATATTATTTTAACTTAATGGTAACTGTGTATGATATATATAATTATGTTAAATATGATGAGAAAAAGTATTGTGACTCACATATTTGTTTCTAAAATAATATCTAATGAGATCTAGATGATGATGAGAGTACACAAATGATCTTATTGACTTTAATAAAATTATAAGTAAATATATTTTGTCTGTTCTATTTGTATTCTCAAAATTTCCATTTTCTCTATATATTTATTATTTTTATTCAAATATTAAAATTTAAATTTTATTTTTCCCTCCATCAAATAATCGTATACTAAAATTTTTATATTTATGTCTTTATTTTTATATATGTAATAATAATACTTTTTTTTTGCTTTTTAAAAAAATAAATTACTCCGTACAACAGACATATACAACTGATTATCACTTATCATCACTTTGTTTTTTATTTATTTTTCTTAAAATATATAAATATTATTCAAAAATACTATATACCGATATATATATATATATATATATTTATTTATTTATTTATTTATATTTATATTGTTTATACCAGCAAAGTATGTGATATAGTTGACATATTATATATACATTTTTATATAATAATAGCACTAATTCGATCATAAACTCATATAATATTTTCTTCGCTTCAAATTAACTGCATTTTACCATAATTTAAAAATTTTATAAATTTTCATTTTTTTAATAATTACCTTTATTTTTTAATTTACCTTCTCACTAATTATTCAACTATAACAATTGAAAAAATAATATTTAGTAAATATCAAAATTTAATATATGGATCTTGTTAATTAACGATTATCCTCTTGTTAAAGAATAGATAAGTATAATAATTTTTTTTTTATTGAAAGCTTAAATAAAATTATAAGGAAAGATGTGCATATATATATTTTTAATAAAAATTTTACTTTAATTTTTATATTTATTATTGATGTTCTTAATTTTTTGTACATAATTCTTAAATTGCAGTTGTAGGATAGAAGGAACTCCTCCCTCCGTCACAGTCCGACACTAACTTTAATGGTTCGGTTGCGAGATAATCTTATTGTTAAACAGTTAAACATAGGATGAAAGTTGAATTCCTGAACCATTAGAGAAAAAATTAAGAAGGTTCTTACTATATCTCATGCATGTGGTCTTCGGTCAAAGGATAACCTGATTCAAGAGAAAAAAAATGTTATATGCGATCTATAAATCAAGGGCAACTTGAAACATGTTCCTCATGCAAGCCCTTAACTCAGCATGTCTCATGCACGTGTCACCACCCGTCACAACTCCTTTCTATAAATCTCCACCGCATTCTGTTCCTCTCAACCCTCACTAGTATAATCTCACTTCACCAAAATAACGACACCTTCTTCTTCAATGGCTGAAGCACGTTCAAAACCCCAGCACGACCATGCCCGCACAAACTCAACACACCGTCAAGAGGGTGCCAGCTTCATGAAGTTCCTCCCGGAGATGTCCCTTTCCACCTCCCAAGTCCTCATGCTCCTTGCCGGTGCCTCCATTGGAGGCATGCTGCTCCTCCTTGCCGGCCTCTCGCTCATCGTCAGTCTCGTGGGACTGATGATTGCGGTGCCACTTTTCATCCTGTTCAGCCCGGTGTTAGTCCCGGCCGCAAGTGTCATCGGAATAGCGGTGACTAGCATTATAGCGGCCGGGACATGTGGGCTGATGGGATTAGTGACATTCACTTGGATGGTGAATTACCTCCGGCGGGTGATGGTGACGCCGGAGCAGGCGAAGCGGCGCATAGCAGAAATGGCGGGGCACGTGAAGCAAAAGACTAAGGAAGCTGGGCAGGACATTGAGACAAAGGCACAAGATGCATAAAAGTCACAAACAACGCAATAAGTTATCGTGTGAGAAGAGAAAATGGTTTGAGTTGAGTACTTATGAGATGTGATATACTATAGTGTGCATCGTATCATTTTATCATTATATGTAATATATGTTTGTGTGTGTGGGAATTAGATATTTAACCTTTTGTGTTTTGGAATATGGAGTTTCATTTTGTGTTTGTTTAATTATTTGCAGTTGTTGAATATTCCTTGTGTGTAATGAGTGTTAATGAATTATTCCGGTTTTCATGGTTATAATCCAGAGATCTTTCTCTTTGTTGAAGATAATTTTAAGATTTGATATTGTCCATTTGTAATCATCAATATGTTTCCGGTTTTGGAATGAGGTAAAAAATATTATATTATAGAAAGCATATCAAGTGAGAGAGAATTTATTACGAGAGATGAGAGGGTTAAAATATAACCTTTAGATTAATCAAGTGAAAGAAAGTTTAGAGTTTAATCAAGTGAAAGAAAATTAATCTAAAGGTTATATTTTAACTCTCTCATCTCTCATAATAAATTCTCTTTCACTTGATATGTTTATATATATATATATATATATAATAATGACTTATATGACACTTTAATAATGGTGTTATAAACGTCCATGAAATTTATTATTTAAACACGAGACACAGAATTAAAGACATCTTCCCTGACTAGTCGTTGGGAGAGTTCGTTACAATATTAATTGTTTGATGTATAAGCCTTAAGTATATGAGGTTTTAAAAATTATATTGGCAAGTAAGAACTATGTATAACAACATGAACATGAGAATTATTTGATCCTTTCATGACGAGGAGCTAACAGGGTTACGTTTTGTGTGTGCACCTCCAAGAGAGAGAATGCGTGCATGTGTGTGCATGTTTAATAATAGAATTTTAATTAAAATTAAAATTTCAAAATTTTAGTTTTAAAATTTCTCAATAAAATTCAAATAAGATTTTATTATAGAATTATCATTTTTTAAAAATTTACATATCTCATAACTATTCTAATAATTTTTTTAACTGACATATTTAATTTCTTTTAAATAATTTGATAAATTAAAAAAAATTATATTTAAGATATAAAGTTTAGTGACTTTATTTTCTTACAGTAGAATTATATTATGATAAAAAGAATTTATAAATTTCATAATTATTTTGATGATTTTTTAAACTAACATAACTAAAATTTTAAACTTGAAATTTTTAAGACAATTTATTATCTAAATATTTTATTTTTTTGACTAAATTCATTATCTAAACCTAATTTTGGTGATTATTCTAATTATTTTTTAAGTGATATTTAAAATTTTAAATTTCTAAATAATTTGATAAATCGAAAAAATATTATATAATAAAATTATCTTTTGGTAAGTTACATATTTAAATTTTTTCATATTTAGATATTTTGATAATTGTTTTATATTTAGTATTTAGGGATTATGATTTATTATTTAGGATTTAGAGTTTAGTTTATTAGTTTTATTTTCTTTTTTATAGAATTATCTTTTAGTAAAAAATATTTTTTTGTACGTAAAAATTTAGATTAAAGCTAATCATGTGGCACCATCTATCACATATGTCACAAGACATAAGTAATAAAATAAATTGAATAGTATAATTTTTTATAAATAAATTAAACATGTTTAGGTAGAAAGTATCACGTTTTTAACTTAATCAAATAACATAATTAATAAAATTGTAAGGAAATAAAATTAATATTTTCGAAAATAAATCAACAGAACGACATCCTAATTTAGTCTTAGTTATGCTTCAATATCACATGTTTTATCGTAAGAAAATTAAACATTGAAGTCTAAGTCTCATCACCAATATTTTTAACCTCACGTTAATGGTCACATGTATAATAACCAAGAAAAATAACACAAAATAAAAGGAGTGAAAAACATCTTACTCTAGTTCACAGTGTAGGAATGCAAATCAAGTAGCTAAACAAATAATCATACAAGATATAACATACACAGACAAACATTATAATAACAATCATTTGGTCATAGCATGATAACCAATAACAGTTACATTATAATGTATTATGCAATGAACACAGACTACTTGTTACCATGTATGTGACGCTAATAAAATATCACACTTGTACACTATCGCCAACAATACATGTAAACTCATTGAACTATCTAGTCAGAATAGTTAAGTCGTGCAAGATACATCCTATACACATAAGGGTAAGATTAAGACTTTCAAATTGAGTTATCTCATGCATATGAGGGTAGGATTAAGACTTCATGACTATCTTGATCTAATAATTCATAATCAAGTTCTAAATATAGACTCATTGACAAGGAAAATTGTTAAACCATTAAAGGTATTAAATGGTCAACCAATATCAATATTTTATTTCATCATACACTGGTATCTGATGAAAAAAACATTGACATTGGTTTACCATATGATATCTTCAATAATTTAACAAATTTTCATGTCAATAAGTCTATGTTTGGAACTTGATTATGAATTATTAGGGAAAATTCATTCAAGCTGTGACATGCATAAACTTCATGACTATCTTGATCTAATAATTTATAATCAAGTTTCAAACATAGACTCATTGACAAGAAAATCTGTTAAATCATTGAAGATATCAAATGGTCAACCAATGTCAATATTTTCTTTTATCATACACCAAATCAAACATTACTATATGGTAAAGAAAAGCATTGACATTGATTGACCATTTGATACCTCAATAATTTAACAAATTTCCTTGTCAATGAGTCTATGTTTGAAACTTGATTATGAATTATTAAAGAAAAGTCATTCAAGTTGTGACATGTATAAACTTTATGACTATCTTGACCTAATAATTTATAATCAAGTTCCATACATAGATTCATTGACAAGGAAACTTGTTAAATCATCGAAGGTATTAAATAATCAACCAATTTCAATGTTTTATTTGATCATATACCAAATCAAACATTGGTATATGATTTAAAAAAACATTGATATTGGTTTACCATTTGATATCTTTAATGCTTTAACAAATTTCCTTGTCAATGAGTCTATGTTTAAAACTTGACTATAAATTATTATATCATGAAGTTTATGCATGTCACAAGTTGAATGACTTTTCCCTAATAATTCACAAGTTTCAAACAGATTTATTGACAAAGAAAATTGTTAAACCATTGAAGGTATTAAATGGTTAATCAATGTCAATGTTTTCTTTCATCATACATCAAATCAAACATCGATATATGATTAAAAAAAAAGCATTGATATTGGTTGACCAATTAATTCCTTCAATAATTTAACAAATTTTCTTGTCAATGAGTCTATGTTTAAAACTTGATTATGAATTATTAGAAAAAAATTATTCAAGTTGTGACATGCATAAACTTCTTGATTATCTTGACCTAATAATTCAAGAAAAGAACATAATAATTCTCTCATTTGCAAGCATAAAAAACTAATTATAATGACAATTTTCAATCAAACAAACTAAAAAATACTTATAGAGAATGATAATAATGTGCACAATTAAATAATATATATACAATTAACGAAGAAGAAAAACATTGAATGTGAGTTTTTTTTAGTTATCTATTTACAATATTATTCCTCAAGCACATGGAATCATAGTATAATTTTGAACCAGATATTGGTATAATGTTTCCTAGTTCCTATTGTCCCAAGAAGGATGAGGATGATCCAAAAGGTGACTTGATAAATGATAGGATTGTCATTTGTGTGTGAGGGCCATATTATTAAAATATAGAAGATGAAACATAACAATAGACAAAAATCAAGTGAGTAAATAAATAAATAGAAAATAAATAATAACAAATTTTAGTTAGGATTATCCAATTTAAATATTTTTTATATCTTTAATTTATTTTAAATTTTGATTTTAATTATTTATGGATTTAATTTAATTACAAAACAAAATATTTCCTTTTTATTATAATTTCAGATAAGATTCTAAACATCTTTTAAAATTAAAAAAAAAGATTATAAAAAACTCAAAAGCAAGCATTATTTAAAAAGATTTTAATATCCTTAATTTTTACACTTGACGGAATATAGAGATGTCTATTAATATAAATTTGTTAACCTATTATATGTATATATAAAATTAAAAATTATATCTTTATATTTATATTTTAATTTTTTTCAATATACCTAATAATAAAATAAAAAAGTAGATATACAAAAAAATACTTAAATTTTAAAAATAGTAATACTAACTTATTTTAAAAAATATTATTTTCATGAAAAGATCGGAA